ACAGGATAGACTTGGTCCTCGCCTTCAGAGCTCACAGTGTAGTGGGGGAGAGGCCCTCCTACCAAGAAATCGCAACCTAGGCCGAGTGGTGCCGCAGTGAGTTGCCGAATATTGGCCTTCACGTGGCCCTCTGGGTCCCAGCCATGTGGCCCTTTGCAATAGGGCATGGAGAGCACCTGGATGAGGAGCCTGCTCAGGCCTCAGGAAGTCAGGGAGGGCTTCCTGGAGGAAGTGCCAGCTAAGCTGTGACCTAAACAGAGCAAAGGGAGAAGGAGGGGCTTCCAGGCAGGGGGACTAGTGTGCACCAAAGCACAGAGACAAGGAGCTGCAAGAAACTTAAGTCAGGCTGGGGGTAGAGCTGGTCTCACGCCACGCATTCCAAGCCCTTCTTGAAGGATGTGTCCCAGCTGCCCTCCCTGGCTCTTGGCAGGATGAGGCCGTGGAACGCTGCAGCCGCCCAGAGCCGCCCCGTGAACACTTTGGACAGAGGATCCTGGTCAAGTGTCTGTCGCTGAAGTGAGTGTGCATGCTGCCCCACCCCTCCCTTCAGACGTGCGAGGCCCCACGTATGTTCCGGTGCTTACGTGCACTAGGCGCTCACTGCCCAAGCCGGGCCATGACTTTGTGCGGTCCTGAGACCGATGAGGCCATCCAGGCACTTTTAGGTGGGAAATACGACTTCCTTTTCTCATTCTTCAAAGCCACCAGGCCTTAAGCACCAACTGTGTGCCAGGCTCTGTTCTCAGCCCTTCACATGCATTACCCCTCATCTTCACGACGCTGTGAGACAGGCGCAGGTGGGGGGAGACTGAGGCACAGAGTGGCAGTCATTGTGCCTGAGATCATATGACTTGTGACGCCAGAGTCTGGCCCTCGCTCTGCTGGGACCCAGACTGGAGGGGGCGCTGGTGACCCTGGACCTGGCTTCCAGCTGCCCGAGGCCCTCTCCACATCAGTCCCTGGGAGCAGCCAGAAGTGCGTGGGAATGGAGCTGAACAGGATGTGGCCTTGGACCTAAGCCCAGCCCCGCCCCTCCCCACCCTGAGTTCCTGCCTGGATGGGGGCAGGAAAGGGAGGCCCTGCTCTGGCCTGAGGCCTGGGTGGGCTGCCTGCCCCAAGCACTAGGGTTGGGAACCAGCTCTGCAAGTATCCAGTCATTCAATAAACACTCATTGAGCACCTACTGTATACAGGACATGTAACCGTGGGATGACCACACAGGGCTCTCTAGGTGGGGGGGACATGACGTACCCAAAGCCTGAGATGTGTCTGAAGAGGGAAAAATGAGGCCAAGGGGTAGGCAGGGCTGGACCATGTAGAATTTTGTTCTGGGCACACTGGGGAGCCTCAAATTGTAAGTTTTAAGATGCTTTCCTTAGGACTTGCAGGATGAGTGGGGGATAGCAGGGCAGAGTGAGATGGGGAGGTGGTTACAGGGACTGTCAGGTGAGTGAAGATGGGACTCAGCCCAGGGAGGCAGAGGACACCCCAGAAAGGGGGACAGGAAAGCCCAGGAGTTGAGAACTTCAAGATTGGGGGCATTGTTGTGCCAAAAGCTTCTCCTATATCAGCTAAACAAGGGGCATAGTTTCAGGGGAAGGGCTCTGTGGGAGTTATATGGCTGAGGGTGGGGGGAGGCTCTCCGTGCCTCAGTTTCCCCTTTTGCAAAATGGGTCAGGCCTTTCCTGCAAGCCCTTCAGTAGGAATTTTGTGTGGTCCAATGGAAATTAGTCCCCACCACCATCACAATGCACCATGTCTGGGCTGGGTCTCAAGAGGGAGTGAGGTGTGTGGGTGGTGGGAGTGTTAGGGACGGCCTCTGCCAGGAAGTCCCCATTCACTGTAGGTTTGAGATCGAAATTGAGCCCATCTTTGGCATCTTGGCCCTGTACGACGTGCGGGAGAAAAAGAAGGTAAGGAGCCCCTTTCTTCCCTTTCCTACCCCAACCTTCCTCCTTGTTGCAGGGCAGTGGGCTTCCTGGAGGTGGTGGCCCAGCTGCCTTTCGTGTCCCCAGATCTCAGAAAACTTCTACTTTGACCTGAACTCGGACTCCATGAAGGGGCTGCTGCGGGCCCATGGCACCCACCCTGCCATCTCCACCCTGGCCCGCTCTGCCATCTTCTCCGTGACCTACCCTTCACCTGACATCTTCCTGGTCATCAAGGTGCCCGCTGGGGCTGGGTCGGGGGTGATAATGGTAAATGCCAGAAGTGTGGTCCCTGCTTTCATGGAAGAGGATGGGCAGGTCACCAAGAAGGGTGATAAAGTCTGGTCACGGAAGCACAGGCAGTGGGGCAAGCCCAGAGGAGGCTCCTGACCCAACCTAGGTGATGAGAAATCACGGAGGGCTTCCGTGGAGAAGCGATAGCTAAGCTGAGGCCCATGAGTGGGCAGCCTGGCATGTGCAAATGGACATTTAGAATGTTCTTTAAGTTGAGAGTTTTTCAGTTTATTAGGGGAAGAAAGACCTAGTTGGCACATTTGTGTGAGATTTTCTAGTTCTAGGACTGAGCTCATATTTCCTTACCCCAGACATTCAGTTCGGTTACATTAGTGACATTGACCTGCAGGCAGGCACTGCTCACGGTCAGTCAGACTACACAGAGATTCCCACCTTTAACCTCACAGCAGCCTCAGGAGGTGGGGGTTGCCATGGCCTCCATTTTACAGATGGGGAAAACTGAGGTACAGAATGGGTTAGGGACCTATTTAGGCTCCCACAGCCCGCGAGTGGTAGGATTGGCCTCCGGCCATGCTTGGAGTGGCCTCTTTGTATACTAACAAAAATATAAATGTAGAGAAAATATGGAGACTTGGGTTTGGAGTGGGCTCAAAGGATGGGGGGGGCAGCTGGCTGGGCAATCCAATGGCTAGCGCTCAATCCCGAGGACAGTGGGAGCCAGAATGTTGGAGTGAGAGCCCTAGCTGGATGGAGTGTCTGAGGACCGATGAGGGGGCCAGACAGTTGGAAATGGGGTGGGATTGGGGTCCCAGCAGCGCCTGACTGATCCTGCCTGCCCCTCAGCTGGAGAAAGTATTGCAGCAGGGGGACATCAGCGAGTGCTGCGAGCCCTACATGGTGATGAAGGAGGTGGACACGGCCAAGGTAAGCAAATGGAGGCTGAGCGAGGTGGTGAAGGGGTCACTGGTCAGGGCATATCATGGGATCCGTAGGTCTGGGGCACTGAGCTTGTGGGGTGTGCTGGGGGTGGGTTCTCCCCCACAGAACAAAGAGAAGCTGGAGAAGCTGCGCCTGGCGGCCGAGCAGTTCTGCACCCGCCTGGGCCGCTACCGCATGCCCTTCGCCTGGACCGCGGTTCACCTGGCCAACATCGTGAGCAGTGCGGGGCAGCCGGACCGCGACTCCGACTCCGAGGGCGGTGAGGAGGCGGGGCTGACCAGTCAGGGGAGGGGCTACTGGGGAGGGAGCGCCCTCTGCTGGCCAGACTTGGTACAAGGTTGACTCTCTCTGGCCCTCTGGCCCTCCCCACCTCCCTTTCATTTCCGCCCCCTCCATCACCATCGCTGCCTCCCCTAGAGCGCAGACCTGCCTGGACTGACCGCCGCCGGCGTGGACCCCAAGATCGGACAAGTAGTGGGGATGACACCTGCAGCTTCTCCGGATTCCGCCCAGCCACGCTGACTGTCACCAACTTCTTTAAGCAGGTGTCATGGCCGTGGGGCTGGGGGAGGGTTTCCCAGGGACAGATCGTTACCCCACTGTGGGTACACGGGACCCAGGGACCCAGTTTACGTGGGTATGTCCTGTGCAGGAGGCCGAGCGGCTCAGTGATGAGGACCTGTTCAAGTTCCTGGCTGACATGCGGCGCCCGTCTTCTCTCCTGCGGCGCCTGCGGCCCGTGACTGGTGCGTGGCGCGCCCCGTAAATGAAAGCTTGCCCTTCCATGCAGTGGCTCAGCAAACCCACCCTGAGGACCTGCTGGGCCAGGCCCCGGGGACCCACTGGTGACCGTGATGCATAAATCCCCTGACATTAGGGGCTGGATCTTTTTTCTTTTTTAAGATTTTATTTATTTATTTGACAGATAGACACAGCGAGAGAGGGAACACAAGCAGGGGGAGTGGGAGAGGGAGAAGCAGGCTTCCCACAGAGCAGGGAGCCCCATGCACTACTCGGTCTCGGTCTCGGTCTTGGTCTCGGGATCGTGACCTGAGCTGAAGGCAGACCCCTAACGACTGAGCCACCCAGGCGCCCCAGGGATTGGATCTTTAATGGGCGTCACAGACAAGAAACATAAGACAGTGGGTGAGATGGGGGACACGGTGTCAGTGGGGACGGGGGTCCCGAGGGTGGAGCTGATCAAATGTGGAGGCACGATACAGCCAGCAGGAGTGACTTCTGGCCTTAGCTCCTGAAGGACAGCCACTAGAGGGCATCATGGAGACGTCAGAGCCCCCGCCCTAAAGCCCAGAGGGTGGGCCGGGGTTGGAAGCTCCCAGGCCCTTGCTAACACTCCCCTCTCTCCCCAGCCCAGCTCAAGATCGACATTTCCCCGGCCCCTGAGAATCCACACTTCTGCCTCTCCCCGGAGCTGCTTCATGTCAAGCCCTACCCAGACCCCAGAGGCCGGCCCACCAAGGAGATCCTGGAGTTCCCTGCCCGTGAGGTCTATGCCCCCCACACGAGCTACAGGTACAGCCCCTGAGGCCCAGCTGGGCATTTGAATGGGGGATAGTCATGGCATCTTACAGAGCAAGGTACTTTTTCTCCCAGACACTCACAGACAGCCAAAGTATCTACTCCGCTTTAATGGAGGGGTGTATACATGGGAAGGGTCCCATGTCCTGCCCCGTCTCCTCAACAGCGCCATGTCCTCTGCCTGTGTCCCCGCCTGCTTCTGTCTCTTCTCCAGGCCAGAAGCAGGGCCCAGCGCCCTGGCGACCCCAAGGGGCAGGCAGCTCCTCCTTGTGTGGGAGCCACGGCCATGGCAGCATCCCTCAGTGTAGACTGATCCTCAGTTCCGCCCCCCAGGCAGACTCAAGCCGGGAGTGCCGCTGTATGGAGTCTGGAAGGGAGACAAGGCTTAGCCAAGGCAAAGGGACCCCCATCTGGGTGCCCTGCCCAGCGGCCCCGCCCATCTGACCCCCTCCAGCCTCACCTCTCCTGGATCTGTTGTAGTCGATGCTGCTGGGCCACCATCTCCTGCCTCTGTTGCTGCACATGGCCTGTGAGCACCCATATGATGTGGCTCTGCTTGTCTGCGTGGGCCTGTGGGGTCGGGACAGAAACCTCAGCTGGGGCTGACTCACCTCCTGTCCCCTGGCCCTGCTCAGGGCTGGCCACCCCCCTGCTGCATCTGTGTGCCCTAATACGTCACTGCTGCTCCGTGGCCTCAACTTCCCCATCTGTTAAATGGGGATGACAGGACTTGTGCCATGGGAGGGCTGTAAGCATGATACGGATTTTTTTTTTTTTTTAAGATTTTCTTTATTTGTCAGAGAGAGAGGGAGAGAGAGCGAGCACAGGCAGACAGAATGGCAGGCAGAGGCAGAGGGAGAAGCAGGCTCCCCGCCAAGCAAGGAGCCCGATGTGGGACTCAATCCCAGGACGCTGGGATCATGACCTGAGCCGAAGGCAGCTGCTTAACCAGCTGAGCCACCCAGGCGTCCCATGATACGGATTATTAAGAGGCATAGCTGGGGTAGTTCCTGGGCACTCAAGAAATACTACCAGTTACTCTGATAGTATGTATACGCTTATTAACTTCCATATCCCCTGCCCCATACAGAGTATTTTATCTGTGTTGAGTCCCTGTCTCTACTCTGAGATTGTTGTCCTTATTTGCAAATGGGGAAACTGAGGCACAGGAAAGGATAAGGGTTTTGTCCAGGGTCACCTAGGTCAGAGGCCATGGCCCTGTGAGGCTGATCTGGAGATGCCCTGGGACTCAAGACTGAGAAGTGAGTTCTTTGTAGGAAATCGGTCTCCACTCCACCAGGGTTGGGAACTTCTTACCTTTAAAGCCTCAAATTCCTGCTGGGCATGGCCCAGCCAAGCACCTCTCAGCCGGACTTCCAGCCGCTGCATGCTCTCCCGTAGCACCTGCTGTCCCTGGGCCACCTCCCCTAGGGCCCGGGCCGTGGCCTCTGCTTGATGCTTTAGGGCATCCTCCTCCGTCTGTTTGAGAAATAGCGGATGTTCATAGGATGACCAGCTTGTCTTTGTTGGCCTATATAAAGTCCTATATTCCAGGGACACCTGCCCCCAAATTCCTGGGCAAACCCAGACAGTTGGTTACCCTAGACAACTCTATTGCAAACTCCTATCCACCCCACAGTGCCCAAGCTGCAGTGCCCACCTGCATCTCCAGCAGGCTTGTGCGTAGCTCCTGGGCTGCATCCCGGCCCCGGCTGACCTCCTGCCCCAGAAGGCCCAGCGCACGGCCATAGAGGCCCAGGCTGTGCCCAGCCTTTGTCAGCCGTGCCTCCGTGGCCCTGTACACACTGTTGAGGGCCTGACCCAGCTGCAGGGCACCGTGGAAGAGGAGGGTCAGCTCCTCGTGTTGGGCCGGCTCCAGGCCCCTAACGGGAGCGGCAGAGGCAGGCCGGGCGGCTGTGGCCAGGACGCATAGTAGGCACAGGGTGAGCGTGGGCATGGCTGAGGCTCTGAGGGTACGGCCACGGTGCCACTGCTGCCACCTTTTATGCCCCAGCGCCCTGTTAACCCCCGGTCAATCGTTAACCGGCCAGCTGGGCGCCCCGGGTTGTGCAAGGGCCTGGAGGTGGCGCGACAGTTGCATCAGGCGAGTGTCTGGTGAGCCCACGCTGAGATCACGCCGGCTAGGGTTTGGGCCAGCTGTGGACTGGTGGGGGGCACAGGTTGAGGACAGGCCCAGGCCCTGCTGGGGGGAACCTGAAGCTCAGATCCTCAGTTTCCCCACCCATGGAAGGGACAACCACAGTAACAGTGACCACAGCAGTGAGGGTCGTGAGTGTCTTAGTGCTGGTGGTTTGCCTGGCTGGCTTTCAGCGCTCTGGCTATAGCTGGTTTCCTTCCCACAAGCCTGCGATGCTGGGGTCTGTGCTCGCCTGGTTGAAAGTGGGGAGTGGGGCCAGGACCCACGTGTGGCGCGGAGCAGTGCTAGCTGTCATTTCTGCTCCTTGGATTAATGTGGGAAAGTGCCTCTACCCCCCCCCTCATAAAATGGGAGGAACGTTCACCCCCTCTCTTCAGCTGCTTGGAGAGGTAGATGAGTTGTTTCGTGCTGAGCGCTTAGAACAGAGCTGGGCCTGCAGTAGGTTCCATGTTAACGTTCAGGCCAATCCTTGTCACTCCCCTTGTTTCTCGTGACTGGCATTGCTGTAAAGGCTGAGCCAGGAGGCTCGATGGCCCCGTTATATAGATAGGAAAGCTGAGGCCCAGAAGGAGTATTGGGCTTGCTGGGAGAGACAGGCAGAACTCTGACTTCAGCCCAGCCCCACTTCTGATGCTGGCCTCAGTTTCTCCACCTGAGACACAGGCCTCATAACTCTAGTGGCGTCTCCTGGGGGAAGGGTAGTCAGGCCCCTGAGCCAGGAGAGGGGCAGGTCAGCCCCAGTGGGGCTTGGGCTTGACTACTGGCCACCTGGGCCACCTTCTTGGAACCCCGACCCTGAGCACCCATCTGTCCCTGCTCAGCACCTCCCCATGCCTCATTAGTGACCCCAAAGCCCCTCTGTGTCCCCACCCTCTGCTATACTGTTCCCCCATCTGTGCTCCGAGGGTGCCCACCTGTCCCCCATCTCTCCCAGTCACACCTGGTGCCTGTAATAGCTGCATCCACCGCCCTCAGTGCCCCAGCTGCGTGGCCATCACCACCCCCCCCAACCCCCGGTCTCCCAGTCCCACCGGTTCCTCTGATGCCCCCGCCCCCACAGGAACCTCCTGTACGTGTACCCGCATTGCCTGAACTTCAGCAGCCGTCAGGGCTCCGTGCGCAACCTCACTGTGCGCGTGCAGTACATGGCGGGCGAGGACCCCAGCCAGGCCCTGCCGGTCAGTGACTGAGCGGGGGGAGGGGGGTGAGGGGTGGTCCTCGGGGGGTGTGTCCCAGGGGGGCCCCCTCATGCACACCATCCCCCAGGTCATCTTTGGCAAGTCCAGCTGTAGTGAGTTCGCCCGCGAGGCCTTCACCCCGGTGGTCTACCACAACAAGTATGCAGGGTGGCGGGACGGGGCCAGTGGTGGGGACACGGTGGGGACACGGTAGGGCAACAAGAGGGGAGGAGGCTGCCCCCCCGGGAGAGCCGGCAGGGACCCCGAGGCAGAGTGCAGACCATGGGGCCAGGCAGCGCTGGGGTCTGACTTTCAAGAGGGGGCAGGGAGGGCTGGGGGGCACCACGCCCCCAGCAGAGTCCCCTCCTAGGTCCCCAGAGTTCTACGAGGAGTTCAAGCTTCGTCTTCCAGCCTGTGTGACCGAGAACCACCACCTGCTGTTCACCTTCTACCATGTCAGCTGCCAGCCCAGGCCGGGCACAGCCCTGGAGACTCCTGTGGGCTTCACTGTGAGACTCCCGCCAGCCCTCACCCCCACCCCGAGTCCTGCTGACAGCCCCCCACCCCCATCTGGCCCCAGACCTAACCCCCCGGCTCTCCCCAGTGGATCCCACTGCTGCAGCACGGCCGCCTGAGGACCGGCCCCTTCTGCCTCCCTGTGTCCGTGGACCAGCCCCCACCCAGCTACTCCGTGCTCACACCAGACGTATGTGCCCTGGCCCCCTGCCTCCCCTCCCAGTGCCTGGTCCCCCCCGACAGCACTCCCCGGACTCCCGCCTCATTGTCCACCATCTGTGCCATGCCCTCCTTTCCCATCAATACCCTTGGGAGCCTTGTTGCCCTCTGTTAGGGTCCCTGGCTGCTCCGTCCCCCCCCATTACTGCCTTTATGTGTCCTACTATTCCGACGTGTCCCTCCCTGTACCCCACTAGCCTGGCCTCATTACCCCCCCAGCCCCTGCGCTCACCATTCCCCACTGCCTTTCTGCTCCAGTCCTCCGTTTGCAGCCCTGCCTGCCTCCCTGACCACGATCCCCCCAGTAATTCTTCCAGGGCCCGTCACCCCCATTAATACTGTCACCCTCCCACTTACCCTTGAGCTGCCGTGAATGCCCTGGGCCCCTCAAGTTCTCCCACCATGCTCTTGCCCCATTCATTTCCTTTAGTCATGTACACCCCAGGCTTCCATTGTCTGCTTCTCCGTTTGTACCCCAGGCTTCCAGCCTGCCCAGGGGAGCCCCATAGTACTCCCTCCCGTCTGCATCCCCCCTGGGGTTGGCGCCCGGCTGTGCAACCCCCCCCCACCCCACGACTATGTTGCACCCTAGTTGCAATGGGGGGCGCCGGTGGTGCGATCAGTGCAGGGCAGGTGGGCCAGTGCCCCCTGGCGTGTCCCTCCTGCAGGTGGCGCTGCCAGGCATGCGCTGGGTGGACGGCCACAAGGGCGTGTTCAGCGTGGAGCTCACTGCCGTGTCCTCTGTGCACCCACAGGTAGGGGACAGGGGGTGGGGGGAACCCAGGAGTCTGGCCCTGGGGTTGAGCAACAGTTCCCGCTGACCGGGAGGCCTGGCCTCGGGCCACGGACATGACTTTGATCAGCGAGGCCCTGCCACCCAGGGAAGCTGCTGACTCAGGCGGGGGGCGGCCGTGCGAGTGGCCATCCTGGCTGGGGCTTTGGCCTTCTACGTGGTCTCTCCTCCCCGCGCGTTCCCCTTGCTGCTTCTGTGGTCACTCCCCCTATCCCTCTCTCCTCCCTCCAGCTCCTAGCTCATCCCTTCCTCCTTGGTAGTCAGTTCTTTGATCCCCGGCCTTGGTTTTCTGCCCACTTGAGCACCACCCCTCAACCTTCCAGGGTCTTCCCAGCCATGGAACCCTGGCTCCCCTCCAACACACCCCCGCTCACCCCAGGTCCCCCCCACCCTCAGGACCCTCACCTGGACAAGTTCTTCACTCTGGTGCACGTCCTGGAGGAGGGGGCCTTCCCATTCCGCCTCAAGGACACTGTGCTGAGTGAGAACACCGTGGAGCAGGAGCTGCGGGCCAGCCTAGCAGCCCTGCGCCTCGCCAGCCCTGAGCCCCTTGTCGCCTTCTCCCATCACGTGCTGGACAAGCTTGTCCGTCTAGTTGTGCGGCCTCCAATCATTGGCGGCCAGATCGGTGAGCAGGCACACAGCCTCAGACCTCAGTTTCCCTATCTGGAAGGGGGGCCCCTGGTCCCCTGGTCCTGGGTGACCTCCTCTAACCCACTCATCTTTCTGGCCTGTTTTCCTTTCTGAAAAATGGCTCCCAACCCCCCTGGGCCCAGAGCAGGTGTGCTGTGACCTTTTCATTGGCCCCACAACCCCTTGGAAAGGTGGGAGATAAGGGGTTCCTTGGAGAGGTAGAAGGCCGTGGGCTTTAGCATTTGACCTCTGTTCTGCCCGGCAGTGAACTTAGGTCGTGGGGCCTTTGAAGCAATGGCCCATGTGGTCAGCCTTGTCCACCGGAGTCTAGAGGCTGCCCAGGATGCCCGCGGTCACTGCCCGCTGCTGGCTGCCTATGTCCACTATGCCTTCCGACTGCCTGGCACCGAGCCCAGCCTCCCAAGTGGTAAGTGTTGGTGGGAGGGCCCTGGACGATAGTATGTGTCTGGGAGGAGAGCATCCCAGTCAGTGGGAATAGCATGTGCAAAAGCCCAGAGGCCATACAGACCTTGGCTGATTTGGGCAACTTGTGAGAGAGACTTGATGTTCACTCCTTCCCTCACCCCTAGGTTGGTGGTCTTTGTTGCTTGACTGGTGGGTCATTCAGCCGGTCAACAAGCATCTGCTATAGGTTGAATCAGAGACGCAGTTGGGCTGCCCAAGTTTGAATCCCAACCCTGTCTCCTACAAACTCTGTGACCCTGGGCAAGTGACTTCACCTCTCTGGGGTCTGTTTTCCATTTGTAAAACAAGGGTATTAGTGGTCATCCCTTCATGCGGGTGCTGGTAAGAGTAAATGAGATAGTAATTCGTACAACAGGTTTGGTTCAGTGAATGCTCAATACAGTTGGATTCTTTTCTATTTGCTAAGTCATTAATACTAACCTCTAAGCTCTCTGGGCACTTAGTGCGTGCCAGGTACCGTCTCCCCGAGTCACTGTGAGGCAGCAGCCACTAGTGTGCCCATTTTATAGGCGAGAAGCCTAGAGGCTCAGAGGCAGAGAGTGATTTCACCCAGGACAGCCAGCCGGGAACAGGCAGGGGCTAACCATCTTGCCTCCATCCTCAGGGGCCCCTCCAGTGGCCGTGCAGCCTGCCACGCTGGCCCGTGGCCCTGGCCGCCCCGCCAGCCTCTACCTGGCCCGCTCTAAGAGCATCAGCAGCAGCAACCCTGACCTGGCCGTGGCCCCGGGCTCTGTGGATGACGAGGTCTCCCGCATCCTGGCCAGCAAGGTAGGGTGAGGGTAGGCCCTAGGGTCTCTAGCCTCAGTGGCTCCGGCTGGCAGGTGGGGCGGGTGAAGGCTCTTACGGTGGACGGAGGTATAGGAAGTGCCGGACAGCAGCACGGACTTGACTCTGGGCAGGAGGGCTGGTCTGCAGCTGTCACAGCTCGGGAGCAGCAACTCAGACTTTGCCCTGGGCTCCGCGCTCCAAGGCTGACCCAAGGAT